AAGGAAGCTACAAACAGCCATAACAAGTGGTATTATTTTAATGAAAATACCACTTGGCAGTTGCCTATGTTTCCTCACGAGCATGAAGATGGGTTTAGGAAGGTGCAGCAAAAGTGACAAAATTCAAAAAAATTTAATCTTATCCTCTTTCAACTCACTTAGTTTCCTTATAAATTCATTTACGGTTAAAAGAAGATTTATAATTAATACCTCAACTATGCATGTCTTGGGTATCTTAAAAAAAGAGATGTGTAAAAATTGAAATCACCAAAATATTATTAATGAATTAGGGTTGAGAAAAGTGTTATCAAAGGTATTTTGGTAATTTAAGCAACATTTTTTATTATAAAAACCCAATCTAGTATGAAAGACATAAAGGAAAATCCCAGAAGCAAAACCATAGCTTTTATATACATACTTGTTTTCATTTCCACCCAAATCCTTAGGGTTATGGGGCATTTGTCCCATATCATACTTGTGCGAGTGAGTTAGGTGATATATATGGCTTTTTATACAATTTTAAACTAATCAAATTTGAAGTTGTGGTATATCCTATTCTATTCAAAAAAAATTATATCCATAGCATAAAGGAGCTTAATTGGTAGCATGATAAAATTTTTTGCAATAAAATTCTTTATCATTACCATAGAAATACGTAATATGTAAACCTGCCAAATTACTCGATACACCTTTTTTTTCATTTTGCTATGATAATGGACTCGTTTTGCTATTTCTGTACCAGATAGATCGATAATTAACATGGCACAATATGACGGTGCCCTTGCCAACTCAAAACGTCATGTGTTGTGGGAAGTAAGATATATATCATGAAAAAAAAATAGGGAATTTGTGTAAATATTGAAATTACGAAATAATTATTGATGAATTAACATTGAGAAAGGCTTTAATGAAGGTATTTTGGTAATTTAAGTAAACATTTCTGACTATAGAAACCCAATCTAATATCAAAGACGAAAGGAAAATCCCAGAAGCGAAGCAATATAT